CTGATATCCCTGCTGTATCGACCTGGCGTGGGAAGGGGACATCGGCGAAGCATCAGGATTTCCCTGCCGAGGGAAAGAAAGAGGACACGGAAACCAAGAATTAGGGATGTGTTGATCTGCATCGGCCTGGCGTCACCTGGATGTGGAATTCGGACTGCATGAGATATTCAGATACCAAAAACATGGCTTTTCTTTGATTATGCGTTACATACTTTAAATCTATTCTTCAAGTCATCTTTCTCGCGGGTTTATCGTAATACTCGTACCCCATTAGAAGTTGAAGGTCATTTCGACTGAAATGACATTGTTGGACAGTTTCAAAACACTTTGTGACATCCCTTTCCTCATTTACAGCCCATTTCAAACGAACATCAACCCATCAGCTATCTCTCTATCCGAAGCAAAAAAAACTTGTATGAATAACCGACAAGAGTAGTCATTGTGCCTAGGTAGTTGCCTTCCAGTCCAGCCCCGGCAAGATACATGCTGACTCAGAACTGACTCAGCCCCGGACGTCATGCGGAGAGCTCCAGCAGCAGCGCCCCTCGAACCTCCAGCGGAAGGAATTGAAGACAGCACGCCCATGTTGTCAGCATTTACCGCGCGGCCGCTCGTGGAGCTCAAGCCGCGCGACAAGTCTCGCATCGACTCGGTCTTAGCCTACGGTGACCGTCTCCTCGCTGGCCTAAACAATGGCAACCTCCGCATCTACCGCGTCACCGACGACGGCAAGACCGAGCTCCTCCGCGAACTGGAGAAATTCTCCCGATACAAGATCGAACAGCTTGCCTTGATTAAGGAGGCTAACGTGCTGGTGTCGCTTTCTGGTGGTTATGTCTCGCTCCACGATGCGCAATCCTACGAGCTTGTTGAACAGCTAGCTCAAACGAAGGGCGCTTCTGTCTTTGCCATCACGTCGAATGTTGTCAATGATGTTGATACGAATGTGCCTGCTATTGTTTCCCGCTTGGCAGTCGCCGTCAAGCGGAAGATTCTTATGTGGGCGTGGCGCGACATGGAGCTGGAACGGGATACGGCTGAGCTGAGCTTGGTCAGCGGGGTCAAAACTCTCACCTGGGTTGCGGCTACACGGCTAGTGGTTGGCCTGAACTCGAGCTTTGTCATGGTCAATATTGAGAGTGGGCAGTTCACGGACCTGGCTGGACCGGGCAGCATTGAGGAATCGGGCCGGTTCACGGGCGTTGGCGCGGCGAGCATGAGCTACATTGGTATGGGAGGCATGGTGCCGCGGCCGCTTGTGACAAGACTGCGTGAAGGGGAGATTCTTTTGGCTAAGGACGTCAACACGAATTTCATCGATGTCGACGGCCAGCCTCTTGGCCGGAAGCAGGTGCCTTGGAGCCATGCGCCGGTGGAGCTTGGATACTCGTACCCGTTTTTGTTGGCTTTGCACGATTCATCAAAGGGTGTGTTGGAAGTACGGAACCCGGAGACCTTATCGCTGCTGCAGTCTGTTCCGTTGCCGTCGGCTAGTATCTTGCACATTCCGCAGCCGAATATCAGCCTCGCCCATGCCGGTAAAGGGTTCCTTGTGGCAAGTGACCGCACCATCTGGCGCATGGAAGCTCTGAGCTACGATACCCAGATTGATGCTTTGGTTGAGGGTGGTTATCTAGATGAGGCTATCAGCTTACTCGGCGTGCTGGAGGATGCTCTTTTACGGGATAAGCCTGGTCGACTGCGCGCAACAAGACTTGAAAAAGCGCAGAGCTTGTTCGCCTTGAACAAGTACCGGGAGTCTCTAGATCTGTTTACTGAAGTGTCTGCACCTCCCGAGAGTGTCATTCGCCTATACCCTCGCTTAATTGCGGGCGATCTCTCTACAGTCCCGGAGCCTGAAGTTGCGAACGGAAAAGCGAACGGGTCCCAGAGCGACGGGTCATCCGATGATGTTGCTGCTGGACAGGCATCCACACACGCAGCCTCTATTATATCTTCTGTGCGGAAGCCCGACGAAGGAAGTGAGGCTAGCAGTATCCGTGGACACGACAAAGGTACGGCTTGCTCTCATTGGTTTTGAATCCATGCTAACTAACTATAGGTCTTCGAGTTGCTGTCCGCGAGCTGCAAGGATACCTGGCAGATGTTCGCCGACGCTTCCAGCGCTTCCTCAACCCCGATGGATCTCTCAAAGCTGCTGTACCAGTCGAAGCCACAGATGAGGCAAGTGACTCGGTCCTTAAGCTGCTGGATTTCCCATCTCCCGATGAGTTTGCCACACAAATTTGTGCCAAGGCACGGTTGGTTGACACCACCTTGTTCCGTGCACACATGTTCGCGACGCCATCACTAGCTGGATCGCTCTTCCGCATTGCAAACTTCTGCGACCCAGAGGTAGTCATGGAGAGACTCGAGGAGACTGGTAGATATAACGACCTAATTGATTTTCTTTACGGCAAGAAATTGCATCGGCAAGCACTTGAATTGCTACAGCGCTTTGGCCAGACAGATAACGGTCCTCTGAGCGGTCCGACACGCACAGTCGCCTATCTTCAAAATCTACCGCCGGATCAAATTGATCTAGTTCTTGAGTTTGGGGAATGGCCGCTTCGTGCCAATCACGAGTTGGGAATGGAGATATTCCTGACCGACACTGAAAATGCTGAGACGTTACCCCGTCCACGAGTCCTCGGGTTCCTTGAACAAATAGACACCGCACTTGCCATTCAATACCTCGAGCATGTCATTAATGAATGGAACGACATGACGCCGGACATACACCAGCGGCTGCTCATCCTATATTTAGATCAACTTACATCCAACGAGCAAGGGGAATGGAAGGAAAAGTTCTTGACGATGTTGAAAGAGAGCGAGCAATACTCTCCAGCGAAGATGTTAGATCGGCTCGATCGAGAGGGTACGTTGCGCGCTACTCCTGTGAAACAAGCTATCACTAACAAACCCCAGATCCCAACTTCTACGAAGCCCGAGCTATCCTATTTAGCAAGATGGGCCAGCACCGACAGGCGCTCGAGATCTACGTCTTCAAACTTGCGGACCACGAAAAAGCAGAAGAGTGAGTGATATATCATTTTCCCTAAAAGGAGCAATTGCTAACACCAGAAAGATACTGCAACCAGGTCCACCTCGCTGAAAAGGCCGAAGAAGAGAACTCCATCTACCTCACCCTCCTTTCCCTCTATCTCTCCCCGCCCCACGGCTATGAGCCCCAAAACGACCCCGCGATTGACCTGCTAGCCAAGCATGGCTCACGCCTCCCGGCTGATGCCGCATTGAAACTCATCCCGGACAAACAGGCTGTGCAGAAACTTGAATTTTATTTCAAGGGCCGCATGCGTGCCGCAAACTCGGTTTTCAATGAAGCGCGCATTGTGGCAAACCTGCGTAAGGCACGGGATATGCAGATTCAAGCCCAGCTCGCTCTTGGCGAGGGTATTCGTGGTGGAGGCACGCGGGCCCGCCACGTCACTGTCACTGAGGAGCGAATTTGTGGCGTCTGCCATAAGCGTTTGGGTGGGAGTGTGATCAATGTTTTCCCCGAGTAAGTCGTTTCCGGTCTTTTGTTTCTTTTTTCGGTTTGCTCATCGCTGACTCGTTCCCAGTGATACCGTGGTTCACTTGGGGTGTGTCAATCGAAAACCCAGTGTTCGAGCTGGGTAGTATCCTTGCTCTCCTGCATCTGCATTCGCGGGGTCGTTCTTGTTCTCGTTCATGTCCTTAGTTTTTCTTTTCTTCACTTTGTTTCCGGCTCGGGGTTCTCTTTTCATTTGGTTTGTTTGTGTCGACGGAGGCTATCCCAGCGACTTTGATACCCACTAGCATCTGCCCATTTCAAGATACATCATGGTCATGCGATCATGCATCGTCCTCAACCACCTCCTCTCCGTAATTCTCCTCCTCCTTAGCTTCCTGTGCCGAGAGCTGGCCCTGAACCTTCTTGTCCTCTTCCATGCGCTCCGTAAGGAAGACGTTGATCTGGTCCTGCAGTTTGGGTACGAGGGACTGCAGCGCTGATAGGTGGGCTTGCTTAGCCGCTAGTGTGCCGGTTGTGGTTGATATCACATGTTCAAAGGTTTCAGTGGCTTGAGGGGCGGTGTAGACAGCGCTCAGGCTCGTGTTGGAGGCCATTTTGAAATTCGCCGGGGAAGGGGAAACTGTTTGGGGAAATTGTTTTAGGGGTATTGTTAGCCCTGGAGGGGAAGATGGCAGAGAATAATGTCCCCAGCTACGCTACCGCCTTTTTTACCGCCTTTTCGCTGATCTAAGCCCACCAAGGCTCCAGGGCTCCCAAGGACAGTCCCTCCAGGTACGGCTAGATACCGAGGTTATATATTACTTGATGGTACTTTGATGATCACACGGTAGCATTTCCGAGCCTGATCTTTTTGTTAGGTTCTAGTAAGGCCGTAATACCTAGTCTATATGCGGCCTGGATATAATACTAGTATGAAAGTCATGGTAATGTTGGAAAAAAGGAACATTGAAATCTGTTAGATAGACGAATTCAGGTGCGAAGGACACCATGAAGCAGTGAAATGGTCTATAAATATAGATCTTAAATCTATAAACTTCGTTGAGTCCAGATCATATCAAAGCTTAGCCAAGTCTCCGCATCTTTCGTCGATCTGGGATTCTGCCAGATAGAGGAGAGGAAGGGATCGGCGAGTGCCCAGATGTGGCTTTTGTAACGTTGTAAACAAAAAAAACCTCGCTGAAAGATAAACTGGCCTGAAAGAGATAGAAAGAGCATGGATTATTCGTTATGAATCCTACCTTCCGATCCCCCCAACTCCCCTGGGCGTCAAGCACCTGCCCCTCGTTACCCCCGACCTCCATCTGATGACGAAGAGGAAGACGACTCCGATGAAGACGAATTGGTTCGCCCCGGATCCTCCGGTAGTGACGCCTCTTCTAATGTGACCACCGTTTCCGCCGCTCCTGTCACTCCAATCAATACTCAACAGCCCGGGGGTTACTTCCCTCCACAACCACGCTCGGCGACTTCGCCTCATCACCCTATGCCGAACCCATCAGGCCGAAGGCCCTCCGGCCGGGGTCCCTCTGTCGAGTTACCCCGGCACCGATCACGGCATCACTCGCAGGGTTTCTTTGAGCCTTCCCTGCCGACCGCCTCCTCCGATCAGGTCCCTACCGTGTCAGCATCCCGTATCGCCGCCCAGGCAGCAATGCAGCAGACGAAAAAGCAACAGAATGTCATAACCCCGGTAGAGGATGGTTCTCGTCCCAGGCGCAGTGGAAGCAGCTCACCTCCTCTGATGCCCGCCCCATTGCGTGTCAACCAACCGTCTCCCCAACCTCCTCCGCCGTCAGGGAACGTGGCCACGACAGCTGCGAATGTGGTCTTCCCGCGAGCCGGTGCTACGCCGGTAGAACAACAGCCCGAGAAACAGAAGAAGAAGAAGCTCTTCTCAAAGCCAAAGCACATCGGAATCAGCAGTCATAAAGAGCTGGGCAAAGACCGTGGCCTTCCCTCCCCGAGTAAGATCAGTGGGTTATCCCGCATGGTTAGCGGCTCGACTACAAACTTGGCCGACCTGTCCTCGAACAACTCGTCGATGTACAATTTATCCAATGCCTCCGTGAGCACAGTTGTCCCTGCAGATCGTCCGCCAATTCAAGAGAAGGAAAAGGAAAAGGAAAAGGACAAAGACAAGCACAAGCATCATTTCCTGTCAAGGCAGAAACTGAAGTTAAAAGACCGCGTCGAAGACCACTTCAACCTCCCTCTATCATCGGCTTCGAGTAATTCTCGTCCGGCAGACCCTAATGCCCCACAGTCTTTATACTCCTTTACGCCTGCGTCTCCGGCTCCTGGGGCGACGTTTGGCAAGTCGGTCAGTGGGTTGGATCTCCTGCATGGCGGTCGAGCACTGCGTGAGAAGAAGAAGGAGGAGAAGGCGCTCGCTGAGTCGGAGCAGATGGAATGGCTGGCCAATAATGCTGGGGGGGGCCACAACACCCGGTGGCTTCCCGGGTCCGTCCTCAGTCGGTAGTTCGGGGACACTCCCCGAGTCTATGCTCCGGGAGACCTTGCAAGGGTTTGGGTTGAATAATATGACCCCAGAGGATGCGTGGGACTTCCTCAAGGCGAAGCTGTTGGTCATCTTCGATGGTGAAGATGTGCGCATCGCCATCGAAGATCTCAACAAGCTGGTGCTCGTTCATTTGCAGCGTTGTGTTCTTAAGAGGGCTCCTACTTCTATTGTAGTGGACCTGCAAGAACTGCTAGAGACTGGATTTGCGACCTTGAATCACAGTTCGCTGATTGGCCTTCCAGATGAAAAACTGGTCCCGCACCTGGTTCAAGTGTGGCTGCTGGTGTTTGGCACGATTCTGCCCTTTATCCAGGCTGTGTTTCTCCCCTTGGATCTCGAGTTCAAGGGCTGTGGATCCTTGATGACTAGCCGTGAAGCCGGTGAGTTCTGGGGTGCACTGCCTGTTGGTGGGACACTCGATGTGCGAAGTCTAGTCTTGATCGCCTTCCGTGATTGCATGATCCTGAATCGCTACGATGCCCTCAAAGCAACCTTTTCCCGGCTCAGCCTGGACTCCATCAACTCCGGATTCCCAACACTCAGCGTCACGGCCAAGAGTACCGGCACTGGAGGCCGTCCTGGCACTGCAGCCTCGCTTGATGCCGGCTTCGGTAGCTACACCTCGCAGTCATCCACGCTTCTCAGCACCGTCACCGACAGTTACTCCTCCGAACGGCATTAATGCCCTGGCCAACCACCCACGTCCAACGAGCAGTGACTCTCGCAGTCGTGCTACCTCGAACACATCCTCCAACGCAGATCCTCTCTTCTTCCAGTCCATCACATCGCCACCAACCTCCAACAAACGGCCCACCGTCATCCACCGCGGCAACACCTCCGCCGACTCCTCCCACGTCATCACAGAGACCGTCGGCCGCATGCTACAATGCATCAGCGTCCTGGCCAGCGTGCAAACAGACGACGCTGCCCAGGAGCGGATCGAGATTCTTAGCAAAGCTCTCAAACATAACTGGCTCGGCCGCGGCCGCACCGGTCGTGATCGTCGTGGCTTTGTCGGCGCCAAGATCCGGCCTGTGATGGTCGGCGGACCTCCTGTTATCGATGATGGAGATTCCCTCACTACGGCTGGCATCAGCATTGGTGCTAGTACCAGTACTGGGGGCTCCGGGGCCGAGGTGACTCGTCCTCGTCGGAATGGAGTTCGAATGTTCCGGGGCCTGGTATGAGTATGCGTAGTGGTGGCAGACGAGAACTGAGTGTTCTCTAGCTTTGTGTGTTTTCTTCTAGCTACTCGTTATGATTGTATGACGGCGGGTGGGTACTTTGGCAATAAAGGGGCGTTTCTACTTTTTAAAGGAATTGATATCCTATCTCGGGCATTGAGCAATTTCACCTATGCCATTCTACTCTGCAAGGAATTGTGTAAATCTTACAAGTTTTTTTTTATTTGATTTGTAGATAAAGTAACTTTTTTTTGGCCGTTTTGGTTTTTCCCTTTTTTTTTTGTCCTTTTGACTTAAATGTGAAGTCATAATCCAACAGTAAATCCATCACATATGGCACCCAGGGCCCGGCCAACTAGCCACTGGGTAAAATCCTCGATATGCATATTCATATCCACCAGAAATGAATGGCGTCTCACCTCACCATCCATCAAAAAAGTCTCAAGCATCCAAGGGTAAGCGGCTTACTTTCGAGCCCTGCCCTTTCCCTTCAAGTCGATCTTGCCAAACTCGTCGAGGACTTCGTATCGACCCTGGCATGCCCTGTCAGAAACATCCCAGCCAAGCTGCATCGAAATATCCTCGGCAATCTGCGCAAAGATCTTGTCATCCGGCTTCGAATCGAACTTGCTCAAGGCATCCAGAAGGGCCTCCTATTCAAATGTCAGTAATCAGGATAAAACAAACTCTCCATCCCCAATGAGAACACCAATGGGCATCTAGATTGAGGTGGTCAAAGGGGCAGACGAATACATACGTCGAAACCGGGCCAAGGACCAATTCTATCCTTGATTCGTCCCCATCGCTTGCTCAGCGCTCGCCATGTCATCTCGTCGTCCAAGTCACTTCGATTCTCGTTCCATGCCGCGGTGATGTCAAACCACGACATCGATTCCGCCTCCTTCATCTGCGACATCATCTTGTCTGCGGTAGGTGCTGTCTCCCATGAGTCTGGGGTTGCGTTGCCCTTGGGGTTCTTCTTCGCGCTGGTGGTGGTGCTGGAGTTGGGCATGACATCGGAACTGCGCAGACGGCGCGGGGACGGTGACGGTAGCCTGCGGCTCTGGCGTAGTTGTCCCAGTCTTGATGCTGTCTTTGGAACGGCGGCGGGATGATGATGAGGTAGGCGCAGGTGTCACGGACTGGTTCTTGGAACGGCGGCGTTTCGAGGCTGACGTAGCTGGAGGAGTCGTGCTCTTTGCCTCGAGTGAGGCACCGTGGTGCTGCATCGAGACTGAGGTTTGGTCTGGAAGTGTGCTCGATACCTCTGGGCTTGAGCTCTTTATCTGGGGTGAACTGTGTCGGGCACGCTTTGTGACTGAGCCTTGGTTTGCTTCCTCCACTGACTGCAAGGTTTCAGAAGTGGTTGGAGCCTGCGCGGGTTGGTCAGACTCAAGTGCACCAGGTTGAGATGGACTTGGCTGATCGCGGCCGATAGCGGCCCAATATTCAGGTTGTAGGAAATCCATCCCAGCAGTTGCTTCTTCCATCTCGGCAAAGATACGGTCCAGATCATCAATTGTAGTGTAACGCGGCTCTTCTGTCTGAGAATACAGATGCGTCGAAATATCGGTATGGCGGTCCAGGTTATGAATTGTAGTGTAATACGGCTCTTCTGTCTGAGAATACAGATGCGTTGAAATATCGGTATGCGGGTCAGCCATTTCACGCAGGAGCTCCTGCTCAGACGCCAGGATGCGTGCATACTCCTCGGGAGTGTAGACACCCATGGGGTCAATGGTCCAGTTGCTTTGGTCGGGAGTCTCCTCGGGGTACATGAATGTGGAGGGGAGGACATTTGGGTCTTCAAAGGGGGGGGATTCCTGACATTACCGCTGAATCAAGTGACTGCTGGTATGAATCCATATACGGATCCATGGAAGGATCCGTGGAGGGATCCATTGAAGAATCCATAGAAGGGTTCGGGGGTGTAGAAGAGACGAAATCCAGCGCGGGAGATAGGTGACCAGCGTCGCGGGACGGAGCTTCCTCAGAGCTCGAACTGGAATTGGGGGATGCACTGGTAGCAGGGAGCTCCGAGGTAGGATTGACACTAGTCGATGTCTCGTCGTAGTCAGAAGAAGACTCCTGGGATGTGCTGAGAACACTAGTGTTGGGAGAATCCATATTGGACTCGGGGATGAAAGTGGACTCAACAGGCGTTTCTTCAGCAGGGTTTGGCAAATTAGACTCGAGATTAGATGGCGGATCTCCAGGATCGGATGGAACAGTCAAGGGAATGGAGTCCAGGGTGGGGTGAGAAGGTGTCTGTTGGGAAGCAAGTTTTGCCCTGACAGGAGTGACAATGCGAGTCACGTCCTTGGTGCCCTTTGCACTCGTCGAGTCTGAAACAGTGTCGGAGTCTGAAGTGGTCTCGCGAGATCTCTTTTTGACGAGTCTTACTCTAGGAGTGGAAATGGGAGTCGCCTCGTTAGAGCGTCCCTCTGGACCTGCATCCGTCGAAAGTCTGGGTTAGTGCTCTGACAGTAGAAGGAATAGAGTCCAGTGGGTCCTCACGAGATCTGTTGCTGACAACAATTCTTGTTCTAGGAGTGGTGGGAGTCACACCCTCAGGGTTTTGTTCCTTTGCATTTGTCGACTCTGAAACAGTGTCCGAGTCCGGGGTGGGCTCGCGAGGTCTCTTTCTGATAACGAGCCTTACTCTAGGAGTGGGAATGGGATTTGCATCCTTGGGGCGTCCCTCTGCATTGGAATTTGTGTTAGTGGTCTGAGGATTGAGGGTGGGGATAGAAGCACAACGGGAATCGTAAGAAACAGTGTGACTGGCTGCAGGTAGGTACTGCTCAGAATTCTCTTCAACTGGAGCAAATTGGATTCGAGTGGTTCTAAGAGAAGAAGCAGGTTTGCTGTCCGACTCGTTCCCATCACTGGTTAGCTGAGGAGGGAAATGAATCTTCAGGAAAGGGACGTTAGCGGTTAACGTTAGCGGTTAGACAAAATACTGAGGATCTGAACTTACCGGCGTAGGTTCGTGAAGCTCAGCACTATCCTGTGCTGGCAATGTCTGCTTGTTGACTGGGGTAGGACTTTGACTCGGATGGAAAGAAGAAGCATCCGAGTCATGGACGGACGGTGTCCCACTTGTTTCTCTGTCTAATCCCACGATGAGAGCTGGGAATAGATCTCTGATGGTTCTATCAGATGCCATAGTGTTTCAATTCCAAGGGAGTCGACGAGGATAGAATTATTTGGTCACAAACGATTTGCTACATACATGTACGCAAGCGACATAATGATACATGTGATACGATGTAATCAACGCGAGCGAACGAGGTAAGCGATGTACCCTACAAGTACTACCTACCTAGGTAGGTATCTACATATACATAGATAGATAGATAGAAAGTATACATGCAAACGTTTAGATGGGAAGAACAAGGAAAGGTAAACTTGATTACTCTCCTCTTATACAACTGAGGTATACTACAAGTCATTATATAGAGGGTCTATATACTCTTAATGCTCTTACTAGGCTAACTTGGTGATTATTCAAGGTAGTACACCAGTACTCGTTTGACTCTAGACTCTACGTCCATATCAATATTATGTAGTTAATCCATCTATACAATATAACATTGAAGATATCTTAAGACGTGTAACTACATATGTACATATGTACATATCCATCCAATCAAAGAACATAACATAAATCTATAATATTTCTATACAAGTACCTACATACCTACCTATCTACATATGTAGGTATCCATGGATCTATTAATGATCACATAGTTCAAGGCGCTTAATAGGAACTCCAGATTGGCCATGATTTTAGGGCTACAAAATTAGAAAAAGGAAAAGGAAAAGGAAAAAGAAAAGAAAAGAAAAGATATTGGGCAAGTTAATAATGCCTGTACACCGTATATTCATATATCCATACTATAATAAGTACAATAAGTACAATAATACCAGCACATCACATTTCGTGGGGGCAACTGATTGGCTTCAGGGCTGCAGCCTGCGCAGCTCGCAGCTGCACATCGTGTTGATGGCCCTTTGGCCTCTGCCTTTCACATATAATGCGTCTCACCCACAGCGCCATTCTCTTTCTTCTTTACATTTTTTTGTCTTTCTCTTTTGTCTTTTCTCTTTTTCTATTTAATCCTGTTTTCCCTCCTTCCTCTTTAAATTCTCCACTCTCCATCTCCAACTTCCCCGGCTTACGGCTTACAGCTTACAGCTTGCCGCTTTCAGCTCCCGCAGCTTCCTACCTCAGCTATGGATCACGCTTCTACCCGACCGAGGCCAAAGATGAAGTCGTTCCATCAGAGAACCTGAACGGCTCTGCTCAGCCTGCAGAGGTTAAAGAAGTCAAAGAAGTCAAAGACGCTGCTACCGCCCCCGCACCCGAGACTACCCCTGCCTCTGCCCCCAAACTGTGCAAAAAGCACAAAAAGAAGAACAAGAAAAAGGATGAGAGTGATAGCTCCTCGGATTCTTCTTCTTCTGAATCTGACAGCGATGCCGACTCTGAAGATGCATCCGATTCCACAGAGAGCGACTCCGATACCGAGAAACGCAAGCGGCATCGCCTACGAAAGGCGCGTGCGAGGCGTGCGCTCAAGGATAAGAAGCGTCGTAAGAAGAGGAAGCAGCGGTCGCGCAAGGCTGAGACATCGGATTCGGAATCTGACTCTTCCTCTGAGTCAGATTCGGAGTCTTCTACTGACTCCGATGACGACATAGATGACAAGGCGTTGCGGAAATTAGTCTCCAAGCTCAAGCTTAGCAAAAAAAGAGCCAAGAAGCTGCGTGAACTGGCTGCTGATGATTTGGCCGCCAGCGATTCGTTGGGCGAAACTCGCCGCGAGAAGCGGTCTAAGAAGAAGAAGCCCGCTTCCAAGGTGGCCTATAAGCGTGTAGATCAATGTGAGTTTCTTTTCCCGTTAAAACCCTATGCCTTTAATTCATTTTTTTTTTTTTTTTTTTTTTTTTTTTTGGCTGACTCGTTATATAGTATGGGATACCACCATCCACAAGTACAAGCTCACTGAAACTGTGGATGACCCCGATGCCGACGAATGGGACCAGTATATCTTCAACATCCGTCGCAAGTTCAACTGGGAGAACAAGTATCTCGAGACTGTGGTCGATATCAAGAGCAAACCCCTCCGTGATGCCCTCTCCAAGATCATGGATGGTGTCAAGGGCGTCAGTCTCGTGCAGGAGCCCGCCGTCGTGGACCCTAACATGCTGTTCCTATATCTGGAGGAAACAAGGCAATACATGAAGGACCTGAAAAAGCAGTCGCGTAGCGAGAAGAAGAGAAAAGCCAGAAAGGCTGCTGCTGTCAAAGCTGCCCATCTGAAAGTTCTCATCAAATACCTTGACACCGACTACGCAGACATCAAGAAGACTCTCTACCCGCTGCTCGAGGCCAACACTATCACCTTCGATCTGCTGTGGGCCCTGTACAAGCCCAACACAATCGCTTACACTCCAACCTACGGCAGCACAGATGAACCACGTGCTTTCAAAATCGAGTACGCCATCAAAGAGTCCTCCTTCATGAAGGGTCAGTGGTACAGTGTCGATGGCCGCTACCTCGAGTACGACGGCAAGGACTACGGCTTCGGCACTATGTCTGCTGAAGTCGATGCTTTTAAGGGCGCTCGCAAGATCACCAGTCTCGCCTGCTACCCGCTGAAGTACCACCGGGACGCCGAGGCTCTGCGTGCCCGTCTCGTCGAGCGCGGCAAGCGCTTCGTCGCTCTCCGTGGTATGAACTACCGCTTCCACAAAGGTATGGCCTTCTACAAGAAAAAGCGCTCGCTCATCATTAAGGTCAATATCAATGGCCGCGTCATGATCGACCCGGCTATCCACCGTCGCATCAACCCTAACTATCCCATCTCCACTGTCCGTTCCAAGGATCCGGATCTCATAGATCCCGAAGATCTTGGGATCAGCGGCGATGAAGGTGAGGGTAGCGACGGCTGCTGCTGTGGCGGGTCAGACTCGGACTCTGAACATGGCGGCGCCTCTGATACCCCGCGGACGATGTACAAGGTCGTTGAGGATACGGAGGGATGTCCTCGCGTCGTGGAGGTCGAAGTCGACGAGAACGGTGCCGAGATCCAAAAGGAGAAGATGGACCGCATTGAAGGTGCCGCTTCTGATTCCAAGGACCGCGAGTTTACTGAGGAGGAGCTCCTCATTGCCTCGCCTGTCGTTCTGGGCTTTGCCTTCAGCGAGAAGCTCTGGCTCGAGTTCACCATCTCCGGTATCAGCGATATCGAGTGGGATAAGGAAGCCTTTGGTTCGCTTGTCCTCCCGTCGAACCAAAAGTCCATCGTCAAGGCTCTCGTCGAGTCGCATACCTTCCACGCCGCGCAGAACATCGACGATGTCATCCAGGGTAAGGGTAAGGGTCTTGTTGCTGTGCTGCACGGTCCGCCCGGTACGGGTAAGACCCTGACGGCAGAGGGCATCGCCGAGCTACTCCGTCGCCCGCTGTATATGGTCAGCGCCGGTGAACTGGGTACTGACTCGCGGACTCTTGAGGCGGAGCTGAACAAGATCCTGGATATCGCGCACTCCTGGGGCGCAGTGCTCCTCCTCGATGAGGCAGATGTTTTCCTTGAGAAGCGGACTATCCACGATATCCACCGCAATGCTCTTGTCAGCATCTTCCTCCGTCTGCTGGAATACTTCCAGGGCATTCTGTTCTTGACTACCAACCGTGTCGAGACCTTCGACGATGCCTTCCAGTCGCGTATCCATGTCGCCTTACGCTATGGCGATCTTACTTCCAAGGCGAAGAGGAGTATTTGGAAGATGTTCTTGGAGCGCGTGCGTGCTATTGAGGGTGTGAATATTGCTTCTTTCTCTGAGGAGGATTATGATATGCTTTCCCGGCACACGTTGAATGGGCGACAGGTATGTTTACTGGGTTTTATCTCCTCCACTTTATACTCTGATCTACAAACTAACCTGCCCTCAGATCAAAAACTCCGTCCGCACCGCACAAGCCCTGGCTGTCAACGAGAAAGCGCCCCTCTCTATGGACCATATCAAGCGTGTGCTAGAGGTGGCCGAGACATTCGATCAAGACCTGCGCGGCGGAACAGGATACCTGGACGCCATGCGGAGCTATACTTGATTCATTGTTGATTTATTCTGGATTATTTCCGATCTTGGGGAATTTGGTGCTTACTTTGGATATCGGTGCAGATCTGGGTATTCAGCTCGCTATTTGCTTTTGCTTTTCATGTTTGCTTGCTGTTTTCGGTTCATTCCAGATTATTTAGTTGCAACGTCTTTCCTTATTGCATTGCGGACATGGAGCGAATGAGTTTAGGTAGTTTCAATACAGCATATGGGTTGAAAATGGGTATAGTTATAAGTCAGCGTAGTATAGACCGATTTATAGATTACAATGGAATATCGATCTAATGAAGAAGATTGTCATACACTTTCATTATTACAATAAACAAAAGTCACGACGAGGTATGGATAGTTGTACATGGAGCTTTTCAAGGGTTGGCCTTGACGAAGTCAACACCCTTCTGGATGTTCTTCTTGAGGTCAGTCAGGCAGGCATCGAGGAGACCCTGCTCGTACTCGTTGATCTCGCCAACGGGGTTGATCTTCTCAACACCGTTGGGGCCGAGCTCGACGCGGGAAGCGAAGAAGTCGATGCCCTGGTCCTTGTAAAGAGGGGAGTCAACGAAGGTGGGCTCGATGACACCCTTCTCGCCCTGGGCGGCGCGGAGGAGAGACTCGGCGAAGCGGGCACCGGCCATGGCCATGGAGAGGGTGGCGGAACCGGCACCGTCCTTGGCCTTGACAACCTCGTCACCACCGAACTGGATGCGGTTGACAAGGGCATCGCGGGCCTGGCCGGCGATGGAGGAGTGGTTGGACTGGGAAAGCAGGGGGACGATGGTCACACCGGAGTGGCCACCAACGACGGGGACGGCCTCGCCGGCGGGGTTGGTGTTCTGGACCTGCGAGATGAAGCGCGAGGCACGGACGACGTCAAGGGTGGTGACACCGAACAGACGCTTGGGGTCGTAGACGTTGCGGGCCTTGTAGACCTCGGCGACGATGGGGACGGTAGAGTTGACCTTTAATGATGAATAGTTAGTAGGAAACCCTAATTGTGAGGTGATCAATGGCAACTTACGGGGTTGGCAATGACCAGGACGTGGGCCTTGGGGGCGGCCTCAGCGGCGGCCTTAGCGAGGTCGCGGACGATGGAGGCGTTGGTGTTGAAGAGGTCATCACGGGTCATACCGGGCTTGCGGGGAACACCAGCGGGGATGAGGATGATCTCGGAGCCCTCGAGGCAGTCACGGAGACCGGAAGCATCGGGGTTGTAGCCGGTAACGGTGCTGTTGGTGTTGATGTGGCTCAGGTCAGCAGCGACACCTAAACAAAGTCAGTAATTGCGCGTGTTGAATGAGTTGAAACATCATTATTCATACCGGGTCCGCCGCGGATATCATAGAGAGCGAGCTCGGAAACACGGGGGTTGAGCTTCAGCAGCAGGGAGAGAGGCTGGCCAATACCACCGGCAGCACCGAGAACGGAAACCTTGGAGGCCTGCGCGAGGAGTTAGCTTCAATTGGGGTGGGAAAGAAGGAATAAACACTCACATTGATAGCGGAGGCCGAGAAGGCACGCTTCTGGAAGAGGTTGACAGTGCGACGAGCGGCGAACATGATGATGCTTGGGAGAGATGAGTAAAGGAAGAAGTTGGAAGGGGAAGGAGGAGATTCCGGTGAAAGAGATTGGCTGGGGGCTCCACACCACCTGGGCAGTTTCCGAGCTCCCAATGCTCGGCTGAGGTCTTTTGCTTCTTTTGCTTCGATTACTTCGATTCATTTGGGCTATTTGGAAGGAATTGTCTGGTTATTACTTTGTTTGTTATTAATTGAGTGAAACGACAATCTCTTCAGGGGCTAAATAATATCTGATTCCTATGCTAAAATGCTTACTGCCCATTCTCGGAGCAAAGGATACACTTCTGCATGTGGCAGGTGATTTATTTTCATGTGCCTAAAGTACTAAAAGCTATGTTCAACTGAGATATCTACGTTAGCATTTGAAATATATCCAGGTCTTGACGGAAACCACAATGCCTTGGAGAAAGAACCGACTTATATGCAATTGAAGGTGTGACATGTATACTATCCCGAAGTCATAGACAAGTTCCAATTTCACCCAATCTCTACGCTGCACATTGTACCAATTTAGCTAGTAAATACCTTGTGACCAAGGATAAATTCTACTGGATCTTAGAATCTTGCAGTATATTTACATATTTCAAAGAATAATAGCTAATGATCGACTATAGTTGCATCTAGCACATATGAGCATACATATATATACATTTACAACAACCAGACACTTCCAGCCATAGACATTTTATTGGCAATAAAGACACCTCAAGTTCGAAGACCAAACGCCGGCGCTGATGAACCCAATACAAGATACAAGAACTACGCCCTATCCAACTAAACCCGTATACCCACCCCAAGGCCAAGAAAACATAGTCATATAATCCTACCGCAAGAAGTGCAGCACTGCCCAGCAGAACAAGAAGAAAATCACTACCCCACCCCAGAAAATCCACTTATCCTGACGCGCCCGTCGCTCCACCATCCGAATGGTATCCCCGCTGACACCAAGTGTGTTCGCAACGCTGTATAGTCGACGCTGCGTTCCTTTAAGTACTTCACGCTGCTGCCCGAGGTCGGCGAGAACCGCTCTTCCTCGGTCCAGGAAATCATCGAGTTGGTTGTGTGTGTTGGAGAAGAAGGACTGCTCGCGCAGCGCATTGGTTTCGCGGTTGTAGTCTGCTGGGCTAGCGCCAAAGCCGAGGCCCGAGGATGAGGGTGCAAAGGCTGATGTGCTCTGTGGGAGGGAGGACTGCGCATAAGGGTTCTCTGGTGTTGCGGCGTGGTGTGGACGACGGCCTAGGAGTTCATTGTGGTTGGTAACCGATTGCTGGTATTGGGTCAGTATTTGAAGTACACTGCAAGAAAATCTGCTGGGCACGTACTGCATCCTCGCGTTCTTTGCGGAGTCGATCAAATTGTGCCCGGTATTCCATAAGCTCATTTCGGAAGTTCTTGACACGGTCGAATGCCTTTTGTTGTTTCTCGGGAATTAGTTCCTTCTTGGAGAGCGCTGAGTAGTCATCGACGGTGCGGGAAAGCGATGCCAAGGAGGCTGCAAGCTGGCCTACGAGCTTGAAGTCAATATATTGGGGTCGCAAGGAGTCGGTGGTAGGAGCACACCTTGTAACGCAGGTGATGAGGTGGTTGGTGATTGTGAAAAGGTGTCCAGATCACGGCGGATGGACGACGATTGCTTTAAAGCAGAGTTGAATAGCGAATTCTGTTCATGTCAGCTATGTACGCCTATCGCGGGGAACTGTAATATACCATGTTGTCAATGCCTGGTATAGATTGGAATCCTGGATTGTCTCGATACCCGATAAGTCGGGAAAAGGGAGCACTACCTAGGTGCCTAGGACTGCTAACAGGATGAGTAAGAGAGGATAGCCTGAGTCTCCCGAGCTAGTGACTTGCTTTCCACAAACACCAAGGTGGTCGTCATCTGATCCAACCGGAGGCCAGATGGTCTTGTTTGGGCCCATTCTGACGTAGTTCACCGCCTTCAGGTACAATGCACTCTATACAACGTACATCTGCACAAGCCCTTGGGATATTTTTAGATTCTGCGAGGTATCTCAAGTTCGAGTACCTACAAGTAATAGCTCCTAAGAAACTACATTCGACATAATCTATCATATATGTTACGATTGCTAGAACTTAAAAGGAAAATGATATCGTCGTTAAAGATACTGGTACAGTCAATCCGATCCGACTCCATTTTCGCCAAATGAACAAAATGCAAAACCACAGAAGAGCTGGGATGGTATATCAAGACACAAAACAATCATTCAACACCAAAACAGAAAGATATGAAGCACCGCTCATCTATTTGGGAGGGAACTTGTTCTGCAAGAACCACCTAGATCATGGATTAGCATCATTACCATACCCACCAGTCCAAAGGTATATGCAGCACTTACTTGCTGACAAAGTAGTCCACAGCACCAAAGATTCCGACAGCACCGGCAGAGAGTCCGACCAGCTCCCAGGAGAGGTTGCCCCGCGCGTGTTGCTTGTAGGCACCAAAGCCGAGGCCTGCGCCGACGACGGTTGCGATAGCGGCATTGGCGATAAAGACAGGGTTACTGGCGTTTCCACAGATGCCACTGCTCTTCGCCTTTTGGCTCCTTGCCTTCTTCTTTTCCTCGTCCTCACGCTTCTCCTTATCCTCGGCTTCGCGGTCTATCCGCTCCGCCTGGGTGCTGGTTTGGACATCGTGCTTCAGGAAGTCAGATTCCACAGTCTGAACATGAGGGCCATCAACGTCGATCAACGAGGCTGTGCTCTCGGATTCATCGCGGTAGATTCCGCCCACAGGGGGAGCGCGGCTGGAGGATGTGTTAGCGGTGTACAAGGGATACTCGATAGTATAGACAACTCACGCCTGTTACTTGTTAGCACCGTAATGTAGATATATGAGTTTGAATACATACATCCTCGGGGGACTGCTTAGGGCCCTTTGCAGCTGCGTCGGCGTAAGACATGTTGCGCGTGATGTTATTAGAAGGTAATCTGGGGAAATACTGGTGAGCACGTAAACAAGAACGAAAAGAAACATAAGACTTACTAGAAACGTGATGTGGGAAGGAAAGAGTTCGAGGGGAAAAGGAAGGATTTATACCAAGGAAGCTGGGGGGTGTGACATCACGTCATTGACCTGGGCCCACTACCAAGATTCCTTGGGGTTAATTTTCCGATGTTGATCTCATAGCTGTATATATACCTAGGTAGCATATGGCTCCGAAGATATTGTAAGAGACTGTTCCATTTAGTTAGTTCAAATAATAAGGCAGTTAGGACATCTCATGGTAATTACCTAGGTAAAATGGTCTTGACCTGACCTCGGGAGCCCTCAGCCACCTACGTTAGTTATCAGGTGCTCGAACCAAAACACAAAAATGATGCAGAATTAAGTCGAGAAAAATTCCATTGAAAGGATTTAAAGCTGCTAAAGAGATCAAAAACAAATGGGACCTATGTAATGGTCTAATGGGTGAGGCAAGGTGTTTTAATACAGATTACAGATAAGTCAGAACAAGAGAGCTTCGCTGTTTACAGCAGAAGCTCCAGAGGGTTCTCGACGACCTTCTTCAGCTCCTTAATCCATTCACCACCAACGGCGCCGTCAACCACCTTGTGGTCGAAGCTACCAGTGACGATGATCTGGTCGTCCCACTCGGTAACGGTGCCCTCCTCGGTCTCGACGGGGATAGCAACCTTACGGGTGGTGCCAACAGCCAGGATACCGGCCTGCGGGGGGTTGATGACAGCGGTGAAGCGCTCGACAGCGGCGTTCATGCCCATGTTGGAGATGGTGAAAGTGCCGCCCTGGTACTCCTCGGGCTTAAGCTTGTTCTCGCGCGCACGCTTGCCAAGGTCCTTGACCTGCTTGGAGATGCTAGAGAGTCCGAGACCCTGAACGTTCTTGACAACGGGGGTGATCAAACCAGTGGGGGTAGACACAGCGACGCTGATGTCAGCGGTCTTGTGCTGACGGATCACGGCCTGGCCGTTCTCCTCGCGCCAGCTGGAGTTAACCTGGGGGACCTTCAGAAGGGCAACAGCGCATGCCTTGACCAAGAAGTCGTTGACGGAAAGCTTGTACTGACCGTCGGCGGAAGCGTTGAGGGCCTGGCGGAGCTTCAGGAGCTTGGTAACCGAGAGAGTGGTGGAGACGAAGTAGTGAGGGTTCTCGGTCATGGACTGCTTCAGACGGTTGGCAATGGTCTTGCGCATCGAGCTGACGGGGATTTCCTCGAAGGTAGCCTCGCCGGAAACAGCAGTGGTGGCGGGCTGGGCCTTCTCAACATCCTCCTTGGTGATGGCACCACCACGACCGGTACCCTTAAGGCCCTTGATGGACACACCCTTCTCAAGGGCCAAGACCTTAGCGGCGGGGCTGATAGAGGGCTCACGGTCAAGACTGGGCTGGAGCTTCTCGCCTGAAGTTTCGGGCTCTTGCGCGGCGGGTGCCTCCTCGGCTGGGGCCGGGGTCGAGGGCTCAGCGCTCTTAGGCTCCTCCTTCTGCTCAGCGGGGGCAGGCTTGTCACCACCAGCATCAGCCAGGGTGAAGGACTCGAAGGCGGATACATCGGAACCCTCCTCAACAAGGACGGCAATGGGCTATAAGGGAGGTTAGATTGGTGAATCAATTCCCCACGGAGAAAACCGGGAAATTTCTTACCGAGCCAACAGAGACATCCTTCTCGCCGCTCTCCTTCAGAACCTTGGCCAGGACACCCTCATCCTGGAATTCGAAATCCATCTGAGCCTTGTCGGTTTCGATCTCCACCAGGACATCACCGGGCTGGAGGGCATCTCCGGCCTTCTTCTGCCACACGCCGATGTTTCCGGCGGTCATTGTCGGCGAAAGTGCCGGCATGCTAATAAGTGTGTGGGGAGGGAAGGCTGATGAGCAGTCATGTTAGAATTGGTGTCTGAGAGAAAGGGGTAAATCAATTGTCATACACTTGGAGGCATAGAAGCGGGAAAGGGCAGAGAGCGCAGGCACTTGGGTCCTGGTGGAAACATCATTAGTATCAATTCCCAACCACAATTGATATCAGAGGAACATACTGAATCACCTCCTGGAGCTTGGAGGAGACCTGGGGCCGGCGCATAGCGGCAGCACCTCTAGACATGAACATGGCGCTCGGGGTGCGCATCCGAATAGCTGACGCAACCATGGTGCCTGAGACTTGTTGCGATTATAAAAAGAAAGGAATAGAAGCCCTTAACGCTGAGATGAGAAAATAAAGAGAGCCCGGCACAGAGAAAACGTGAAGGGCTAAGAATGGATAAGGTTGGGGTGGAAGGAGATGCCTCTAAATCACGAACTTTTCTGTTGAGCTACCTGTGGCTCCCGGTGAGAGGAGCGGCAGCGGCCTCTTCCGATATAGTCACGTGCTGTAACTTACACTCTCAAGCTCCAGCCATGTATTATTGGTTTTTTACCTTCTCACCGCCTTTAGTATACACTTAAAAAGGGTATTGGAGAGCATTTGAAAGCAGCTAAAAAGAAGGACATACCCACCAAAAGGTAAAATTTTCTTATTATTACTATTATGGCTTGGGATATTTGTAAAGGGTACATAATATGTGTACATACATATGTACATATGTATAAGATGGATACATACATGCGTCGTTGTATGTATGTTTACAGAACCAAACTATGAGCATTCTGCCAGCCAAAAAGGGACGGTGAGAACCTCTGGAATCTCCAACTCCAGCTGGAGCCCGCGGGTCAATAATATTGGCTGAGGTAAGCATGCATTAGTCCCGATTCGGAGAAGACACGCAGCCCCCGTCCTTACATAGTCATCGCGATTGTTTCGAGCTTCCCCACGTTTGCTCGTTCAATGTTTTTGATCTAATTAGATCACTCCGTCTGGAGTCTCCTTGACCATGGCGGACACTGAACTCGGCTCTGAGCCGACCCAATCCATTGAAATGCCCAAGAACCCCGTCGAGACCCCCGACGTATCTCCTACAGTACCAAACTCCGACGAGCCAGCCCTGCCCGAGCAGACAGAATCACAAGAACCGGTCCAAAAGGGCGACGAGGAAGTAGCCAAGGGCCAGGACGACGAAGAAAAACCAGAGGTGCCGCCCAAAGACGAGCCTGAACATACTGAGCAAGAACCCCAAACAGACGGTCCGCCTACGATTCAGGAACCCCCCCAGGATGACAACGATGCGACAGAAAGCAGGTTGCGATCCGATTCGCGGTCGACAACGGCTACATTCATGACACAGCGATCTAGCCCGGTTAGCTCGACGGTCTTTATTGTGACGGCTCTGGACAATATCGCTGCCTCGCGGGACGCCCGGAGGGACAAAAAGCTGGAGGACGCCACACAGGTGGCCCTAGCCAATATCAGACAACCCGATGGGCAAGCAATTGATCCCGAGCTTATCTTCCGTCCTCTGCATTTGGCAAGCAAAGCCCTCAGCATTCCTCTGCAGGTAACTGCATTGGATTGCATTGGAAAGCTGATCACATACTCCTATTTCGCATTCCCATCTGCCGACACAGAGAACAATGCCACCCGTGAACAACCTCCACTCATCGAGCGTGCCATCGATGCGATCTGCGACTGCTTCGAGAACGAAGCCACGGCGGTTGAAATCCAACAGCAGATCATCAAATCGCTGTTGGCAGCGGTCCTCAATGATAAGATCGTGGTGCATGGAGCTGGTCTCCTGAAAGCTGTCCGCCAAATTTACAACATTTTTATCTACTCCAAATCCAGTCAGAACCAACAGATCGCTCAGGGGTCGCTCACACAAATGGTCAGCACGGTCTTTGATCGAGTGCGGACACGGATGGATCTCAAAGAGCTCCGAGTGCGAGAGCTGGAAAAGCCATCCTCGACCCTTGATGCATCGGCGAGCGACGTGGGCCAAACTTCGGAGACGGCTTCCATGCCTGTGGCTGATCAGCCCGTTACCAAAGAGCCCACCACGGAGAAGCTCACCTTACAGAGTTTTGAGTCCCCTAAGGAGGTTACCGGTGTCAACGATAATGCGCCGACTACAGTCACGCGCGCTAAGCGGTCAGCGACGAGGTCGATGTCGGGCATTCCTGAGGAAAAAGATGATGATAGCTCGGCCGAGGACGATGTGGACGAGATTTATGTTAAGGATGCCTTCCTGGTTTTCCGTGCGCTCTGCAAATTGAGCCATAAAGTCCTGACTCATGAGCAGCAGCAAGATGTCAAATCCCAGAACATGAGGTCGAAGCTACTTTCACTGCACTTGATTCACTATCTCATCAACAACCACACCGCAACCTTTATATCCCCTCTGGCAGCAATCAAGAATAGCTCGTCCAGCGCGGATGGAATGAATCTCCTTCTAGCCGTACGACCTCATTTGTGCCTAAGTCTGAGCCGCAATGGTTCTAGCGCCGTGCCTCATATCTTCAAAGTTTGCTGTGAAATTTTCTGGCTCATGCTGAAGGACATGAGAGTTATGATGAAAAAGGAACTCGAGGTGTTCTTGAAAGAAATTTATCTGGCCATTCTCGAGAAACGCGGGGCTCCTGCGTTCCAAAAGCAGTACTTCATGGAGATTCTGGAGAGGCTAGGTGGTGATCCACGGGCTCTAGTTGAAATCTATCTCAACTACGACTGTGACAGAACCGCCTTGGAGAATATATTCCAAAAGTATGTGTTACCGAATCCCTGGTCTTTGACATGAATTAACCTTCTTAGTATCATCGAGCAATTGTCCCGGTACTCGAGTGTGCCGGTTGTAACAACACCTTCTCAGCAGCATCAGTACCAAGAACAGCACACTAAAATGTCAGCTATTGGTTCTGAATGGCACCACCGAGGAACTCTTCCCCCTTCGTTAACAAGCGCGCACATTGTTCCTACTCCGCCGCCCTCAATGCCTCATATCCCATCAGAGTACGGGTTGAAACAGCAGGCTCTGGAGTGCCTTGTGGAGATACTGCGCTCACTGGACAATTGGGCCA